TTTTACTAGAGACTAACTGACCTAGGAGAAGGGAAATATCTCACTCTAGCCTCCTCTAGCCTGCTCTAGCCTTCAATATGGTAAAAGAGAAATACCCAACTCCAGCCCCTTCTGCCCTGCCTATCTCACTTAAGGAGAGAACAGTGAGAAACCCTAGTAAAGATCACAGCCCACAGGAAAGACTAAGAACCAATAACAGGACTATAGAGCACTTTCCCTCCACCCACACTTTATCACTGCATCAACAGGGATTCTGATAGTAACTGGAATATAACTGAAAGAACAGCATATCTCAGACCTTACTTAAGAAGAAGTCCTTAGAGAAACCCAAAGATAACAGGGGAGACAAAAACAAGATCACCAGAGGAAATTTTAGCCTCTGACACCTACAGCTACAGTAAACACAACCTCACCTCTAGCTAGATAAATATAAACTTTACACTAAAGGCCTACTTACTTCAGTTCCTTTCATATCATATTCATTCAGTACATGTCTGGCTTTCAACAAAAAATTATAAGACATACTAAAAGACACAAACAAACAAACAAGCAAAACAGTTGGAAGAGACAGAGCAAGCATCAGAACCAGACTCAGATACGGCAGAGATGCTGGAGTTTCAGCTTGGGAAAATGAAAAAGTTCTGGAGATAGATAGTGGTGACAGTTTTACAACAACGTGAATGTACTTAAAGCCACTTAAAAATGATTAAAATGGTAAATTTTATGTTATGTATATTTTACCACAATAAAAGAAAAAGAAATAAAGAGGAAAAGAAAGAAATGAGCTATCAAACGATGAAAAGATATGGAGGAATCTTAAATGCATATTACTAAGTGAAAGAAGCCATTCTGAAAAGGCTATATACTGTATGATTCTAACTATATGACTTTCTGGAAAAGGCCAAACAATGGAGACAGTAAAAATAGCAGTGGTTACCAGAATTTCAGAAGAAACGAGGGAGGGATGAGTAAGTAGAGCACAGGGGATTTTAGGGCAGTGAAGCTATGATACTGTAATAGTGGATATATGTCATTATACATTTGTCAAAACTCACAGAACATACAAAGAGTGAACCCTAATATAAGCTATGTACTTTAATAATAATGTATCAATATTGGCTTACCAATTCTAACAAATGTACTACACTAATGCAAGATGTTAATAATAGGGAAAACAGGTGAGGGAGAGGAGGTATATGGAAATTCTGTACTTTCTGCTCAATTTTTCTGTAAACATAAAACTGCTCCTCAAAAAGTCTATTAATTAAAAAAAAAAAGCCACCTTGACAGAAGACCAATGAGGAAATATAAAACGTGAACACCACTATAAACAAACTAGCTCTACAGACATTATAGAACACTCCACCCTAGAGCAGCAGAATACATATTCTTCTGAACCACACATGGAACATTCTCCAGGATAGACCATATGTTAGGCCCTAAAATAAGCCTCAAAAATTTTAAATAATTAAAGTCATGAAAAGTACATTCTCCAACCAAAATGGAATGAAATTAGAAATCAATAACAGAAGGAAACTGAGGAAATTCACAAATACGTGGAAATTAAGCAACAGACTCCTAAATAACCAATGGGTCAAAAAAAGAAATCACAAAGAGACTTTTCAAATATTTTGAAATGATAACAAAAACACTACATACCAAAACTAATGGAATGCAGCTAAAGCAGTGCTCAGACGGAAATTTACAGCCATAAATGTATATATTACAAATACAATCAGAGCTGCATAATAACATTTCAGTCAATGATGGACTGCATTTATAATGACGGTCCCATAACATTAGTACCATATAGGGCCGGCCCCGTGGCTTAGCAGTTAAGTGCGCGCGCTCCGCTACTGGTGGCCCGGGTTCAGATCCCGGGCGCGCACCGACGCACTGCTTCTCCGGCCATGCTGAGGCCACGTCCCACATACAGCAACTAGAAGGATGTGCAACTATGACATACAACTATCTACTGGGGCTTTGGGGAAAAAAAGGAGGAGGATTGGCAATAGACATTAGCTCAGAGCCGGTCTTCCTCAGCGAAAGGAGGAGGATTAGCATGGATGTTAGCTCAAGGCTGATCTTCCTCACAAAAAAAAAAAGAAAAAATTAAAAAAAAATAAGATTAGTACCATGTAGCCTAGGTGTATAGTAGGCTATACCATCTAGGTTTGTGTACGTATACTCTATGATGTTTGCACAACGAGATCACCTAACGATGCATTCCTCAGAACATACCCCCATTATTAAGCGATGCATAACTGTAGAATAAAGATCTCGACCAACAGCCTACCCCTGCACCTTAAACTAGAAAAGAAAAAACTAAACCCAAAAAAAGCAGAAGGAAGGAAATAAGACTAAAATGGAAATCAATGAAATAGAGAATAGTGGAAATCAATGAAAACAAAAGTTGGGTCTGAAAATATCACCCAAATTGAAAAACTTTTAGCTAGACTCACCAAGAAAAAAAGAGAGTACTCATATTACTAAAATCATAAATTAAAGAGAGGACTTCACTACCAATCTTACAGAAATACAAAGAACTAGAAGAGAATACTATGAAAACTGTGTCAAGAAATCTGATAACTTAGAAGAAATGGACAAATACCTAGAAAACACAAACTAATAGAACTGACTCAAGAAGGAATAGAAAATCTGAATAGACCTATAGCAAGAAAAGAGAGGAAATTAGTAATTAAAATACTTCCCAAAAGAAAAGCTGAGACCCATATGGTGTAATCTAACAGCCAAAGAATTATTAATGCCAATCCTTCATAAACTTCCAAAAACAGAAGGAACACTTTCAACTCATTTTATGATGCCAATCTTACCCTGATACTAAACCAGACAAAAACAACAAAAGAAAACTATAGATCAATACCTTGGGAATATACATGCAAAAATTCTAAAAAAAAACTAGCAAATTAATATATATATATGTTCCTACATCCAGCAACATAAGAAATATTTATACACCATGATGAAGTAAATTATCCCCAGAATGCGCACTTGACTTAACAATGTAATATGAATTAATGTAATACACCAATAAATAGAAAAATTTGACAAAACCCAATACCCCTTTCATGATTAAAAACACTCAACAAACTAGGAATAGAAGGAAACTTCATCAATCTGATAAGGACATCTATGAAAAACCCACAACTAACATACTTTTAGTGAAAGGCTGGATGCTTTCCCCCTAAAAATAGGAATAAAACAAGGATATCCACTCTCACCGCTTCTATTCAGCATTACACTGGGGGTTCTAGCCAAGGAAATTAGGCAAGAAAAAATAAATAAAGGGCATCCAGATAGCAAAAGAAGAATGAAACTATATGTATTCACATTTGACATGGTCTTACATATAGAAAATCCTAGGGAGTACACCAAAAATCTATTAGAACTAATAAACAAGTTCAGCAAAGTTACTGGATTCAAGATTAAGATACAAAAATCAATTGTCTTTTTATACACTTACAATGAACAATCCAAAAATGAAATTAAAAAAAAATTCCACTTACATAGCACCAAAAAGAATAAAATATGTAGAATAATTCAAGAAAAGAAGTGCAAAACTTATACTCTGAAAACTACAAAACATTCTTAAACAAATTTACAGGAGATCTAAATAAATGGAAAGATATCCCATGTTCATTTATGTAACCAATTGCATTTTGTCTGCCTTCCTCTCTAGACTGTGAACACTAGAAAGGCAGAGATAAAAAATGTTTAGGTTCACCAAGGTTCCTTAGCATCCAGCACAATGTGTGGCCCACAGTGAATGCTCAATATATGCTCAATGAATTAAGCACTGGACTATTTACCAGGCAAAACAACTAGTGCTCTTCAATGATCAATAGTCTACAGCATCAATGTCCAATAGAATTTTCTGCGATGATGGAACTATTCTATATCTGCACTGTTCAATAGAGCAGCCACTAGTCAAGTGTGGCTACTGAGCACTTGAAACGTGGTTAGTACAACAGAGACACTAAGTTTTTAATTTTATTTAATTTTAACTAATTAAGATGTAAAGAGCCACACATGGCTAGTTACTACTATACTGAACAGCACAGGTCTATATAGCCTTTTCTCTGTCTTTTCAACTGCTGTACTTTACACAGTTTACATCTTGTCTAAGGAGCATTCCTAGACAATAAACCCTAGGCTTTTTTTTGTCCCCACAATGTACCTTGCACAGATTAAAAACTTAATAAATGTCTGAAGACTTGATATACGAATTGGATAGGAAACCTTTTCTTCTCCCTGAAAAGCAATCAATTAAATGCAGTTATTTTCAAAACGATTTTCAGGAGCCAACCATAAAATCAGCTCTTTCTCCACTGTGTATTACCCTGTGCTTTCTCATTTTCCAGACTGTCTGGAACTGCAGCATAAACGTCCTGCATATTTAAGCCCCTCCTACCGGCTGGGGACCCCTTTATTGCTACAAACAAGGGTCCGGAGAAGCACAGCAGGCGAGGAGCCTCTTGAGACTGACTAATCATGCGGTGTACATAATCCACACTACTCCCTCAGGGGGAGCCCTGCAAACTAATCTCCTAATTGTCTCCCCAACAAAATAGTTCCTGGGCAACCACTCTCTCCACTCCGACACCGCCCTTTTCCCCTCCTTCAGGGCACGACAAGCCCCACCTCCTCCCTAAAAGAGTTTCTTAACGACACACACTGGGAATATTGGCTCCTCTGAACATCTGGTGTCATTCAGAAGGCCCGGGACCCACCGAGGCGAGGAAACAAGAGAAGTCTTTGTGAGAAAGAACGGGATACTTGGAGTAGTCAGAACCTGGGCAAGCATCGGGGCCCAGAAGGCGAGATGGCCCCTACAAGCCTTTAAAAGCGCGCTTATTATTCGTCAGGCGCCGTGACAGGCAGCGAACAGGAGGCAGCCGCGGCAGAGAGCAGGCAGAGCGCCCGGGACACACGTCACCCTGCCCCGACCGCGGTCCACACCTCTCCCCGGCCCAGCTCACCTCCTCCGAGCCGGTCCGCTCTCCCTCCAGGTAGCAGTGCCTCGGAAGCGACTGCTTCCGACTTTGCGGAGGCAAAGTCCTGCGGGGGCGCGCCTGCAGCCAGGCCTTGGCCTCCTCGTCGTCCTCGTCGTCAGTACTCTCCCGAGGCTGACTCTCGTAGTTCAAGTCCGCGTCCAGCTCCCGTCCCTCCTCTTCCTCCATCTCCTCCACTACGTCCGCTTCGTCCTGGTCCAAAGTATCCACCTGCTCCGCCTCCTCCTCCACCTCCTCCTCCAGCTCGCTGGGCCAGGGCAGGTCCTCGGGCTCCATATTGGAGTCCGGCTCAGGGAAGCTGAGGAGGAGGGGCAGAACGGAGGGCGGAGGGCGGGGAGGGGAAGTGAGCCGACTGGCGGTTACGGCCGCGCGCAGGCGCAAAGACCGCTTCGCGCCCCGCGCCTCGCCGCGCCGACGGGGCGGGGCCGGTAGTGAGCGCGCGCGTTGCTAGGGACGCCCCGCCGAGGGCGGGCGGGAAGGCGGAGTAGGGGGCTGGCGACGGGAGAAGCCACCGCGTCGACCCCGTCACCAGCTGGGATCCTTCTCACAGTACTGTAAGGTCACAATAAACTCGGACTGGACTGGGCTCCTCTCGGAGGAGGGGATAATTTAGTCCTCGGCCAGGCCGGGCCATAACTAAATTTTGCCCGTGCACCGAGGGGAGATGAGACGCTAGAACTAAACCCATGATAACCAAACTTGCAAATTATAAATTTTAAAGGTTGAGAGGCCTACTGTGTGACACACTGTATGGTGGGCGCTTGAACCAGTGGAAAAGTGTCACACTGGTATCAGAAAGATGGGAGTTTGAATCTTGGCATCTTCACTTAGAGTGGTGTAACTGAGCCTCCGTAAAATGAGGATAATAGGCCATCGCATAGGACAGTTGCGATAATTAAAGGAGATAACCAATGTGAAGGACCTAGGGGTAGGTATTATTCGTTAATTATTGTATGGTAACTCATTAAATGCTTACAGTTCTGTGAAACAAGTATTCTTACCATTTCATTTTTGAAGACTCTTAAGGCTCAGAAAAATAACTTGCCCCAAGTCTCTTACCTAGTAAGTGGCTGGCTGAGTCAATGCCATCCCAGGTCTTCTGTAAGTCCAATAATTGCCCTGGCCCAGACCTATCAGCTAATAAAAGATAAAAGAACAAATATTTATACTTATAGTACATGTTTTTGGGTTAGTCAATGACTTGAAATGTTTTAGAAACAGATTTCCTGACCACTTCAGGAACCCCTATGAAATGAATGGCAAATTAAAGAATCTTGAGATGCTTTACTATTACCTAAGGAGATAGCCATAATTAAAGTGGAGTCCAGCAAAAATTCTTCATGGTATTACCCCACAATAGCAGAGATAAATTGGCAATGATATTGAACCAACATTGGTGGGGTAATTTTAGGGGTATTGCCTAGGATGACTACATTCTCCAGCATGTGGGAACTGGTCTGACACTAATAACTAAGTTTCAGTGTTCTTACGAGCTGGCCTGGCATTCACAGCTATGCCATGATATTTTCCTATTGAGCATAAGCAATCTCACAGAACATCGACATCACACAAGGTCACTCTGTGACTGTGATGAAGGGAGACAAAAAATAAGACCACCTCTGGGGCTGGCCTGGTGGCGTAGTGGTTAAGTTCGCTAGCTCCACTTCGGTGGCCTGGGGTTCACAGGTTCAGATCCTGGGCATGGACCTATGCACCAGTCATCAAGCCATGCTGTGGTGGCATCCCATATATGAAAATGTAGAGGACGATTGGCACAGATGTTAGCTCAGCAACAGTCTTCCTCAAGCAAAAAGAGGATTGGCAATAGATGTTGGCTCAGGGCCAATCTTCATCACCAAAAAAAAATAAAATAAAAAACAAGACCACCTCATAATCTTGTCTAAACACAAATAAAAACAGTGTTACTGTGCCAAACATAAACATAATAAACATCTCCCTCTTCCAACTAATTTGAGCAACTGCTGCTTCTTTGCCAATTATAGGTCTATCATCACTCTGTTCTTCCCTTCTTCTAGATAAGATTCGTTAAGATACTCAGTCATAGAATTACCCCCTCGTCCTGACATCATTTAGTTCAGAGTAAAGCCTTGCCTCTTTGAACCTTCCCCAAAATCACTAACACAAGCCCAAATCCTGTAAGTTCTAACAACATCCTCTTATTGAGATACTTATTGAGATACGTGATTCCCCACGTGTGTTCTCCCTTGTTGCAAGGGGTGGATAATAAGTCCAACTTTGTTGAACTATAGGTGTATTCCCAGTGATCATTGGCTGGAGAGCACTGACATAATTAAGCTAAAGGAATTATGTAAGTTCTATGCCAGTTTTAAACTTACTGTGTATGGGTGCATTCCCAATTACTAGAATTCTGGTTTGTGCTCTGAGGCACAATACCTCCTGATCAAAGATTTACTGAGTGCTTTCTAGGTTCAAGGCACTGTGCTAGGAAACAGAAATGCCGCCCCCAGCACCTGTCTCTCTATGGCCAAGAGAACGCCCCTGTTGATGCTTCCTTCTAGTAATAGTAGTAGCAGCAGGTGTTGAAGATGGTGCTGCAACAAGAAGACAGGACAGGAGCTGGGGGTTCTTATTCCCTGAGAGCACGGAAAAATCTGGCCACCCACTGTAGTAAGATTAAACCCCTTATCATTCAGACTCTTCCTGTTCCGTGTATTCTCCATATTGTTTCCCTGCTGTTACCCCTTTGGGGAGTTCAGCTTTCACCCAAAATGGAATTCAGACATTCCTGTTTCTCTGGGAAGGAAGAAGCTAGGCAAGATGCACTCAACGCAGGAACAGAGAGCTTTACTCCTCAGAAGAGAGTGGTGATTCTGAGCACGCTGTGCCTCCTTAGCCCTCAGCTCCATCTTCCATTATAGCCACCTTAGACTCAGTTTTAAGGTCTTGTAGGGGAGATATATATAAGAGCGAAGTTTTGGAGTTATCAGAAACCCCACACACACACACTTCTACCACCCATAACACATTGTAATGACTCCGGCACTGGCTAAGAGTGCTGTGCAAATGTTGTTTATAGACAAATACATAGATACATAGATGTATAATAAGTTTACGTTGCATACTGCCTGAGATTCTGACAAAGGGTCCTAGCTAAAAATGTTAAACATAAATTAGGGACTGATATTGCCCTCAGAAGAAAAAATTACCATTCTCTGTAATAGCCGTCTGTCAAGGCAGGAGCCCAAAGGATGGGAAAAGATGGGTGGAGACCTCTGGGGAGGATGGCACCCACCCATACACCTTGAACAGAGGGTCCTACAGCTGAGACTTATGGTTCAGGTTCCTGGCTATCACTTCCTATAGCAGGACTACAGCTGAATGAGTTCATAAAAAATTGGGCTCAGGCAACTCAAAATGGTACAGATTCCCACACCACAAGTCTGATGTGCCCATAGGCCTGAGGGGCTGCTCAGACTAGACCTTCCCACTCATGGGGGCATGCCTACTCCTTCCTTCATCTAGGAAGGAAGTGAAAGAGAGAGCAAGGGCATCATGTCCTCCTTTCCCCCACTATATCCATTGTTTTTGCCTCATCATCCTCCTCCTCCTTTCTTCTTCTCCCTCTTCTTTTCTGGATAAACAGAGTTGAGGGGAGCAAAAAGCTTTCTATTATAGAGGAAAGAAATCTTAATTGGGTTTTGGAGGTTCAATAGTAAGGCAAAGGCCAGAAGGATTCAGTAAAAAGTGAAGAAACTGATTCATTATAACCATATATCACTGGAATACATGCAAACTACTACAAAATCTTTGCATTTGCTAACCCCCCAGATACCCCCATTGCTCACTCTTTTACTTTATTAAGGTTTCTGATCAAATGTCAGAGATCTTCTCTGATCACCTAGTCTAAGATAGCATCCCTACCCTTAGCACCTCCATCCTTCTCCAACCCATCACTCTTCTTTAGTTTTCTTTATACATCTAACATTAGCTAACATTATGTATGTTTGTCTATTTTCTGTCTGTACTCACTGGAATATAAGCTTCATGAAAGCAAGGACCTTTTTTCACAACTTTAACACCTGGAATTATGCCTGCCATATAGTTGCCCTCAATATTTATCCAATGAATGATTAAGTGGATGCTATTTTTGGTACTCCTCTTGCAAAAAAGAATTTAAATGGAAAAAGAGGCATTCTCTCCCATTTTACCATAGATGTCCAGAAAATCAGGGCACCATGAGGGCTTTAAGACTTTGGTGATAGTACCCAGAGAAGCCCAAGGTAGCTTGGATGCCCACTGAAGACCATAGGGCCTATCAGGCAAGAGCAGAAGCAATTTTAGAGTCTACTGGAAGAATTAGTGTTCCAGAGATGAAACAACCCAGGAGAAACTGCAGCCATGATCAGATGAGGCCAGTGTGACTGGGAGAGACTGTCCACTCATGGAGTGGCAACAGTGCCCAGCACCCATCACATGACAGCTAGCTGGGCTTCTTGGGGAAGTCATGTACAACAGACTGAAAACTCCCAGAAATACCTGGAGGCAGGGCTGACATTCATCTGGTGTGGACAGGTACAGCTATACACGTTGTTAAAATATTGAGATACTTCTATATTCATTGGTAATCAGCCAGTGCCCCAAGTACACTTTCCCTCTCCACCCCCATTACCTTCTGCTGCCCCAGACTTACCTCTCTGAGATCCAAAAACTAAAAGGTTAATGCCTGTTACAGCTTGAGCCTCTGGTTTGATTGGTCTATGCCCTTGCCATTCCAGTTGTTAAATATTTTTAATATCACCACTACCTGGAGGCAAAGGGGGAGATGAGGCACTATTTGAAGAAGGAACAGAACCAATGAATTGGGAAATTACTATTACCTTGGACTTCCCTGAAGCCAGAGGCTGCTGAAGTTTTTAGTTTGTAAAAATATTATGAATTTTCAGCTTGCCAGAGCTGTGCTAAGGGAAACCCAGGGAAAGAGTCTCTGATGACCCTTGAGCTAGAACATTCGAAACATGTGGACCAGCATGGCAGTGACAGGAGTCATCAAACTGAGCCCACTGCCTGTGAAAGAGGAAATTCAGGGGGCCACTTGGAACTGCAGGGTCAGCTGGCTTTCTCCCACCAAAAGACTCTCTTCTCAAACCCAAGCCTGTGAAGGTTCAGGCTTTTCTTTTAAAATGGGAAAAGAGTATGCATAGGCAGATTACACCAGATCATCAGTTTACAGCACAGCCAATCAAGTTACATCCCTCTTTAGCTACCTTTCAGCCCTAAGGCTATACCTTGTCACA